GTTAAAAGTAACAAAGTAAACAGACCCTTTGCTATCAGTAAAAGTTGCAAATGTCCAGATAAATATTGTGAGGTGTATAAACTGACAAATCCTCATAGAAAAGACTTACTCTGGCCTCATAAACGCAGGACTCTGTGATAAGTTTCTCAGGGTGATGATGCCAGGTGGAGACAGTGGTATATGTGGCAGAGTGGCTGGAAGGGCGAATATTTAGACGGGATTGACGATCTGCATGACGGTCCTAAAGGAAAACAAGTGAAATCTGTGTCAAGGTCACACCGACTAAAAAAAAAAAAAAAAAAGTGCAAATTTATATTCAAAGTGGAGTTACATTTAATGTTATTTTGCAGCATTTTCCTATTGTTTCTCCATAAATTTCAAAGCATAATGAGTTTAAATTATTAAACAAATATGCCTTATTTAAAACCGGTATAAATTATTCATGCTCTGTGGTGTTCAGAAGTGTTGCTGTGCCCCGTGGTAACAGACATCAAGAATGAATTCTTCTCAAAGACCTCGTAACTATTTCATCTCATTTGTTAGAGAGCATGTGGAAACATAAATAGTAAATATAACTAAATATGTTTCATTAAAAATGAATATTTAGTATTTAAAATAGCACTACAGACACCACAAAATGTGCCCTGACATTTTCAGAATATAATAATTATATTAAAGGATAAGCAAACAATACTTTCTGTAGTCCAAAAAAAATCAGCCGTTGATTAAACTTGTTGGTCCGGCACATGATGCTCTATTGCATTGAGATCTAGGGAATTCGGAGGCCATGGCCTTGAACTATTCATCATGTTCCTCAAACCATTCCTGGTCTGGACAATGTGTGCGGCAGGTTGCTTTATCCTGCACTTCCACCAGGGAACACCACTGAAGGGGTTTAGGTAGGTGGCACGTGTTAAATTTACGTCCACATGAATGTCCAGTCCCAGGGTTTCCCAGCAGAACATTGCCCAAAGCATCACACTCACACACTCGCCATCGCTTCCCCAGTTAAACGGCACACACGTACACGGCCGTCCATGTGATGTAAAAGAAAACAGGACTCATCGGACCAGGCGACCTTCTTTCACTGCTCCAAGATCCCGTTCCGATACTCGCGTGCCCATTATAGGCGCTTTCGACGGTGGACAGGAGTCTTCATAGGCACTCTGATTGGTCTTCGCCACCATACGGTGCAGTGTGTGCCAGGGGCGTTGCTAGACATTAAGCTCTACTGGGGCACAGCCCCCCCATTGTTTGTCTGAGATAGCAAGCGTAACTAAGGAGGGCGGGGCTTACCGATAGATAAATTAAATTTGTTTGTTTCAAAAACACTATGCTGGGTAGAGTAACTTAGGGGGTTTGGGGGCATGCTCCCCCGAGAAAATTTGGATTTCTCGGACCTACATATGTGCATTTTAACCCTCTGGAGTCCTTCATTTCAGAGTCACACTCAGGACCTTCGGGTCCAAATGGGCCGGAAGGGTGGGATTAATATTTATAAAAAAAAAATCATATTTTTTTTTTTTTGCTTGTTTTTTATAATATTTTTTCTTTTCTTTTTTGGTGTTTTGAGATAATTTCAAATATAAAACTGATTTATAATTAATATTAATGCAATAATTATGACCCATTTTTTTCCCCATTGAATATAATAGAAAATGTTTTATTTTTTTATTATTATTTTTTAAAGCTGTATTTCATTTTAGAGTCAAGCCTAGGCCTCATGAAAGCAATTTTTGAAATGAGATGGATGCCATCTGGTGGACAAACTGAGCATTTTAAAATTTCAAAACCCATATGTAATCTGAATTTATTAGTGTGTATGTGTATAAAAGTGTGTTTGTGTGTGTGTGTGTGTGTGGATGTGTCTGTTTTGCACTCTTGATGTTTTATAGATTCACCCCTTCACTGCTGTGTGCTTTTTTTCTGGATCGTGGCTGATTTGTAGATTGTACACACAAAAAAACTCTGTATTTTCACATTTTTGCCAATTTCCCATATATTTCCTATGCGGGTCCATTTGGACCCGAAGGTCCTGAGTGTGACAATTTTTTTTACAACCACTTAGACTATTCAAATCCTGTCCCCAATGTTTTTGGGTGTTCATATACCAAGTACCAACAAAGTCACCAAATTTCGGACCATTCCGATAAAGCTATGATTTTTAAATAAAAAATATTTAAATGCTTCGGGTCCATTTGGGCCGAAGGACCCCAGAGGGTTAAGGTGTTTGAATGCCAACAAATTGGATAACAATAGCTTTAAAATCATGTTACACGAATTTCTTTTTTTTTTTTGTGCCATAAAAGGCAACACTGTATGAAAATAGAAAACTTTAGAAAATAGAAAACGTAGAGAAAACTTTCTTGCACATTTGCATTCTTCTACATTACACAATGCTAACAATGAATAATTAGCCTTTATATTTTTCAAGAATTTACAATTACATCATTTCAATAAATCAATAAAGAGTTAATATATAGGGCTACTATATAAAATAAAGAGCATGTATATTCTAAAAGAAAACAAAGTTCCCCAGCCAAGTCCAAACTAAGTTGATTTATTTGTTGAGCATTAGAACTGTAGGCGACCGCCTATGCTTCATTTTGGCAAAACGGTCAATCACTTGACTCTGACTCAATTTTACTTTTAAGAGTATTTGTATTATTTAGAAACGTTTGTTTCGTCATGTTTTCATAGCCTACCTCGCGTGCCAACACCGGACTTCGGTGTGCTCAGATGTGTGCGCGCTGCTGTTGCTAGGAAACACAGACACGCGCGGATTTCTGTCGCTTCTGTTTCGGTTAAACTGCGTTGCTTTTACAAGCATTGATTGGTTTATTACTGCGTTGCAAATAGATCATTTCTATTACCCTATAATATAATTTATATTAAATACACTGACAAATAAAATAAATTGTTAAACTCAAACTTCAGATTTACTGGGGCACAGCAGATTTATACTGGGGCACGTGCCCCAGTAAAATGGGTCTAGCAACGCCCCTGGTGTGTGCCATGACACATTACTCCCATAACCATCATTAAAATTTTGTGTGACTTGTGCCACAGTAGACCTCCTGTTCGCTCAGACTAGACGGGATAGCCTTTGTTGCCCTCGTGCATTGAGGCGCCAAACACCCTGTCAGAGATACTCTGACCCAGTCGCCTTGCCATAACAATTTAGCCCTTATCAAAGTCGCTCAGATCTTTATTCCTGCCCATTTCTCCTGCATCAAACATGTTGATTATGAGAACTGACCATTTCCTTACCATATAATCTACTCGGACCTTAATATGCGGCCTTGTTAAGAGATGGTCAACGATATTCGATTCACCTGTGACTGGTCATAACGTTTTGGCTCATAAACAAGCAAGAGTTTGTTGTTAGTCTCCAGCAGCACACCAGCTCCAGAGCAAATAGCCGTGTTACTCACGTATGGAGCAGAAACAACACAATCTTGGTGTCTGTTTTCAGGCCTTCGGCGCTGGAAAGCTTTTTTAATATTAATGCGGGTCCTAAAGCTCTTGCCTGATGATAACCCTTCTTTTTCATCCAGTGATATTACTCTGAGCTTTTCTCTTTTGTAATGTCTCTCAGCAACTCTCTTTCTTCAAATGTCCCTCTTCCTCACTCTCTCTTCTCCCCCGTGATGAGTGGACACGCCCCCTACTGCTGATTGGCTAGAAGTGTGTAATGCTGCTTGGTCCGATCCCCTTTCAACAGTGTTTCTCAGAAATCACTTACTGAACCTTTAACTGCCTAGATATGGTTTGCAACATTTATCATAGAGTGACTCAAATGGTATTCATGTTACTTGGAAGGAGTCGTTATAATCACAGTGATCTTGGTCGCAAGAGGTACTTACATGTGAGCGTGATCTTTCACCGAAGGAGCGAAGGGAGATACTACCATCCTGATCCAATGCTCTGCTCTTTCTGGCTGATTCTCCCAACGGAAGCAACATGTCCATGGAGCGACTGGTGTACGGGTCCATATAACTGAGCGGTGACGTATTCTGAGACAACAGGTCCTGAATCTGTTAAGCACAAATATAATTGTTGTAGCCAAAACATAACGTATAGTTATATTTGCATGTAACAATATGGATATCATGCTATCTACTTTTTCTGATATGCCGAATTATGTTTATCACCTTTAGCTGGGAAAAGCGGTTGGATTTTGAAGGTGCTTCCTCATACGGTCGCTCTACTATTGAAGCTATGATCCTTTTTCTGTGACCAAGAAGGCCAATTTTTAACACCTACACAGAGAAACTATGGTCAGTGTATCAGATCACAGTGCACAAAACTCGTTCCCGCAGACAAAAATATTTTGAACCAGCACGAAAGGCACATTTACATTGACAATTTCAAGCTCCCACAGGTTCTTCACGCAGTCCAGGGTGCGGTAGCCGCTTGACAAGAAGTTGTGCAGATATTCTCCGAGGCCCAAACTTTCCAGCCATGAGGACAGAGAAGTGCTGCCGTCACACCCCAGAGCTTTCACCTGAAGGAGGAATAAAACGCTCTCTCAAATTGCATAGCGAAGCATATATGTAATGCACTTTGAGGAAAGCCAGGAAAGTCACACTTAAAATGTCTGAATGTGATTGAATTTCATGACAAAATATTAATTCTAGTGCAAACAAACACAGAACCAGCTTCTCTCAGAAATAACTTAACTAATTTTAAGTGTGAGTGGATGAAAACTTGGTATCACACTTAGTGTCCAAATAATATTTTGGGACTGAAACACGCTACCTTCGGAAAGTTTTTTGCTGCATGAAGGATTTTCTTCCTGTGGCCTGGGTCGGTGATGCCAAGTTCATGAAGGTCCTCATCTTCCATCACGTTACTCCCCTAAACGTATGCACATTCACATGAATTTCTGCTCTAGTTAAATTCATGAGAACAACCAAGTGTTGCATGAAAGTGACAGCAGAGGTAGTACTAAAACAGTTTCAGGCACATACAGTCCCTGTGAATACTGACACTTAGTGCCTTGCAAATATATTTTTCCATTAACCAATCACCTCTCTCTCTCTCTCTCTCTCTCTCTATATATATATATAAATATATCTATATATACACACACACACACACACACGCACGCACACACGCACATACATATCTGCCTAACGTAGTGATAGTATATAGTTGACAAAATAAGATGGAAATATAGACATACACTTTTAGGATATACACTTTTATAATACATATAATTATAATTCAGGGGCTGTGGCTGAAATTATGTACTATAACAATTTTCTTCTCTCATTAATTTCACCTTTTTTAATAACCTTTTAGCTGTTCTGCTTTGCACTTAGATAGTCCTGCAATATGATAACTTAATTTTTACAACAACAAACATTCACATAGTCTCTCAATTAATATGAGGTCATAAAATGCTTTAATAATAAGTATTGCACATTTATAGAATTAAAAAAAAATTATATACGTCTTTTATAGCTTTTATATAGCTTAAGGCAAATTTCATGTTGTGTTCCCTTTTATTTGAAAGCACTGAAATTATACTTTTATCTTTTAAAATATACTTTTATAATATAGCTGTTTAAATTATAAACTGATTACATCAATTAAAAATCACAGAATTCATATACAATTTAAAAACACATACATTGAGGATAAAACAAAAGAGATTTTCCTTACTTGGAAAAAAATATTTATCCATGAATGACAGTGTTCAGTGAACTGAAAAATATTTTGGGCCTTTGTATTTTGGATATATAGAAACTCACCACATCCCTGACCAACCTGCTGTGTCAATCAATCCCCACACACAAAAGCCACTCACCATGTAGCGCAGGTCATCGAAGCCATTAAGCACCAGTTTGCTCTCGTACTGAGGAAAGCCCACGTGTTCCAGCCACTCCCCCACCGTCTGCTCCAGCGCACGGCTCCCGGCTGCATCTGCCGACAAAGGATGGCGTTTGAGCAGTGAAAAACCATTTAGCCTGTAGCAGCGGCACTCGGAGGCCGAGATGTGGCACTGCCACATCATCTTTGGCCAGCAGAGCTGAGGGCAGCAGCAGCAACAGCAAGGCAGTGTCCAGGCTTGAGTGACGGGCCTCCGCTAGACACAGGGCCCCAGATTTACAGACTAAACTAGTGATGGAGATTCCTCCACAAGCCCTCACTGCGTTGGAGATGAGGACCAAGGCTGAATGGGGTATGGAGGTAGACCTTGGCAGGTAGTCCTTTAAAGAAGAGCGTCAAGTCAGTAAATTGGAACAATTGGGCGTTGCTCTTCAAGAAGAGGGCAAGCAAATGAAACAACGTCTACACAGATTTTCCGTATCTGAATCAAACATTTGGACTGAGGATCACCAGCACGTTGCTCCAACAGGAAGATCATAAAAGTTCAAAAAGAGCTTTTGGCTTGCAGCAAAATATCAAGATCCACAAGAAGCTACTAGGAAGTTGCAGGAAAGTGCGCCCTGCTTTACCAACATGCCCTACACATCAAACACAATGCAAGGCATGATAAAACAGACTTGTCCTTAAAATTAGAAGCAAAATCCTTTAGCAAAGACCTAAGAACCATTGGAGAGTAAGAATAATGCCAATGAGTTTGTCTACAACAGAATCATGGACTCTTAAGCCAAGCAGCCTAACTCATTGATCAATAGTCCAACACAACGCCAGTTTTTCAACTCCAGAAGCTTTGATTGACGCCAGGTCGTCCTTTGAAAGATCTTCATGGCGAATCCCATTCCTCCGTTCCCGTTGTTCAGTTGTTGAGGAGGAACCCCTCCCACCATCAGAAAGTAGCCGGTTTGACCACTTCCACAGGCAGTCCCGGATCAGGTAGTGTTCTGTCACGGTAATCCAAGTACTCCTGGTCCTTCCGAGCTTAGACGCACCTCGCCGGTCTAACATACCAGAACGAAACACACCATCAAAACGAGGTAAAGCCAAACCTTTATCCAATGGAAACAATGGATTTATAAAAAAAAAAGAAGCTCGGTCCCTCTTCTTGCAGCACAGCCCCCTTGATCTGATCGCTTCGTTCCTTTAGAAGACGTTTCTTCTGACCTGATCAGGCAATGTTCTGGTCACGGTAATCCAAGTCCCTCCGAGCTTAGACGCACCTCACCGGACTAACATACCAGAATGAAGCACACCATCAAAGCGAGGTACAGCCAAGCCTTGATCCAACGGAAATAAGGTGAGCTCCCACAATGGACGGATAACCCCATAAGAAAGCCCCGCTGACGGCACGGCCCCTCTTGTTGCAGCCCAGCCTCCTGTTCTGGTTGCTCCGTTCCTCTAGCAGACGTTCCTAAGGGTCTTGCGCTCGGGGGCAAGGATTGCTGCATCCCTGATCCAGGAACGCTCAGTCACAGAAGCAGCTGCATTCGGCACTCACAAAGCATCAAAATGACATAGTGCTCCTCCAGAAAGCCATCGCCTGCACAGTTGCAGCTGGTAATCACCTTAAAGACATCTTCTTATGCATTCAGTTTAGCTGTGTATCACGTTCACTCGCTGTTTCCAGCTTTCCTTCTTCTTTGACTTGATTTTTACTCTTCATTAAAAGAGTCCTTTCCGAGAGCTCTGCATGGCTGCCATACACCGTCTGAAGCTGAGAGCCGCTGCATGGCATATACGCTCTGTTCGTTCCCAAACCCCCCTCCTTCCCGTCTCTATGCCTCTCTTTCTCTATCTGCCTCACATACACACACTCTCTCTCTCTCTGTGGCGATCAATCCCCCCCCACCCCCTTTTCTCTGTCTCACTCTCTCTCTCTGCCCCTCTATCTATTCCCCTCTCCCCGTACTGATTAAAATTGCACGCAGGCTCTCTGATCTTGCTGGTGCAGAAAGGACACCATCAGAAAAAGGAACAAGAGACAAACCCATACCACACACTACTGTGCCAGGATCAGAGAGAAAAGGAAGAATGAGGAAAAAAACCAGTACAGGTTCCTCTAACCCCCGCACCCCACAACCCCATCCCTATCCCCTCCGCACTTAAGTGCTTCCAGTGCCTCTGCACTCTCTCTATGAAAAATTAAATCGCAGCCAAGCCACATACCACGGTAAATCATCAGAGGAATCAAATTCATGAATGTGTCACTGTACCGGAGCGGCTGCACGTTAAACGTTAAGTCAGCGAAATGCACCGTGCACATGCTGCACTTAACGCAATCCCACCTGTGCTGCCCACATTCATATTGGACACATCCGAGTCCAATCGTCAGAATCCAGGTTTGCCAGACGTGATTAAACCATAGGCGTTCGCGTCTCACAAGCAGACGATGCCAACCGCATTTTCCATAGCGTGATGTGGTCTAATTCAGTGTCACACATGAGTGCTGCTTCATGCATGCATGTAGGGCATTATCTGCATGCAGCTGAGAGCAGAAGAATCATACGAACTGTCAGCCTGCCAGGGAGTTATTCACACACACACAGGCACTGAATAAGGCTTAAGATGTAAAGTACATCCAAACATCTGCATGCTCAAAAGGACACATCATTTCTAAAGGAGGTACATTTATTCAAAACGACAAGCAAAATGAGGAAAAAAACACTAACAATTTGGCAAAAAAGAGCCAAACAAAATTATAAATGGAGCTATAGTGAATTTTAACATGGTATTATCATGGTTTCTTAGACATGCTATAGTTTTTTTTTTACATGTACCATAGTAGTACTAATCACATTTACATTTATTCATTCAGCTGAAGCTTTCATCCAATGTGAGCAAAATAAGGAAAAACACTAGCAATTTAGCAAAAAAGGACCAAATCATTTAAGCAAAGTCAGCATTTTTTGATTTGGACAATGGCACCATAGCAATACCATGGCTGTTTGGACATGTATCATGGTAATACTATTGTAGACATACTAATATAATTATATTTTTTGAAGTACATTTAAGTATCATGTAAATGCCACGGTACATGGTACTTTACCATTGTACAGTGATAGTATTAGAAGAAAAACTTTCAATTACAAAAAGTGATATATACACACACATGTATATATATACTGTATATATACATACATATATATAAAAATTTATTAATATTTATTTTATATTTCTTGCAAAAAGAATAATGCATTTTCCTATCTCCGTTCTCTGGCTCAAATATTACATTCCTCCTCAAGGGCACTCAACTTTTCCAATAAATGGCCTATTGTGACACTGTAAGAATTGTTTATTTCAGAAAACACCGGCATTTTCATTACTAACAACAGCAAACAACTCACCAAGCGTCCCCAAAACTCCCGTCTGAATTTTAAGGACAGTCTCACAGAACAATAGTGCTGTCTGTTCCTTTGAAGTGATTCTCTGCTGTACAATTTCTAAATAATTGTATCTCTCCTAGAAAAGTATATTGAAATATAGTGCTGTCGCTCCATATATAGCAACTACCTTGGGAGGCTCCACTCAAAAAGAAAAGAATATCGAGTCCTAATTACTGAGTATCGGTGCGATGGCCACAGTAAATGGATCGTCATCTCATCTCTTTAAAGTAGGCCCTCGGCGCCCATTGTGTCCCGGAGGTCAAAATACCAAGTACAAAAATATCAGACCAAATTGGGGTGAAAAGTGAGACAGTGTGGTTGAGAAAGAAAACCGTTGGTAGTTAAAGACGATACTGAAATAGTTCTGACTTGAGGGTTGATTCAGCCAAAGCAAAGCGGAAAAAAACCCTTTATAGGCTTTCACAGAGGATATACTACTGTGTTCAGACATATACAATGAACAAAATGAATATGATTGTTTATAATCAGGCTTTCAATATATTAAAGGTGCAATAGGTGATTTGGAAAATGCTAACTTTAGCCTGCTAGCAATGAAAGCAAGCTTTTTGTCAGACAAAAAGACACATTTTTTGTCTTTTTTACTGAGATGATGTAAAGCATATTGGTCAACATGTGTTGTTTTAATGGTGCTATACAAATAAACAATGACATTCTCACTGAAAATTGCCGTCCAAAGGCACGCCTCCTCCGAAACACATGAACGTGCACATAGACCAGAGACAACGTTATTGGATTACATCATGTGTCATTCACCGGTGAGAAAACTTCTGTTGACATAAAGGGCCATAAAACTAAAGGAAAGGAAAGAATGTATTGTATTTCAGCTTCATTCATATGCGATTTCATGACATAGCGGCAACACAGTTGAATCTGACTGAATTATCTGCATAGGGAAAAGTCAGCAGTACATAGAACGGTACTGTCAAACCTGAAATGTAGATACTTAACACTTGTTGTCGGTTCAGAAGGAAATGTTGTTAGTTTGTTGTTGCTGTTTGCCTGCCATTCTTGCTCCGTCTGCACAGCGTACTTGAAACGCGCTGATAACGTAAGATGTCTTTGCAGTGGGATGCAAACATACGTTGACTGACAGGGAACACATGCTATGAGTTCATTCGGACCAAATGCAATGATTGAACGAGCATTTTAAGGTCCCACGCCTTCCACAGACGTAAAATAAATTTAGACCATGCTTAACATAGTGATTGCTATCAGGATATGAGGAGACTTTCAACCACCATATCAAAAAATAAATCTGTAGAGAATCACCTATTGCACCTTTAAAATGACAATTAATCTCATAATGTTTTTGCCTTTAACATTTTGATTAGCCTCTTAATGTCTAGATTTTTTCCTTCAAAAAGCATTTGGTTCCTATCTTAAGGAAAGATAAATATGCATTTATGCAACACACAAAAAATGCATTGCTTCGAATGGCTTTCTCAGCAACTTTAGTACCATTGCTTTGTTAGTTATAGCTGATATTTCATACTTGTTGAGTTTTGATGTCATAATATTCTGCCATACAAAGCAATCTCCAAAGAAGACATCTGTAACAACAGTTGCAGTCCAACAGTTCAGGGCGAAGTTAGTTAGTTCACTCAAACATTTTAATTCAGTCATCATTTACTGACCCTCATGTCGTTTAAAACCTGTATGACCAGTGCTATTATTGTTAAGTAAAATGAAAGCTAAAACTACCAAAAATGGTTTTCTTTAACTGAAATAAAGCTAATAAAATAAATATAAATTTTAGATGAAAATTGTAAAAACATTAAAATATATATAAATAAAATAAGTTAAAGTACTAAAATCACTGCAACAAAACTAAACTAAAAATAAAACTAATCAGAAATAGTTAAAAAATGAAAAATGAAAATGACAAAAGCACAAAATTACTAAACCTTAAACTAAAATGAAAAAGAAAACTGAATATATAAAAATAAAAGCTGATTCAAAAATCTTGATAAATACTATAATAGTATATAAATAATATTAAAATGATCTTCTGTGGAACACATAAGAAGATACAACGCTGCAGTCCACAACAACATTGGATTCCATTGGCGTTCGTTGTATAAACAAAATAAATAGAGGTTTGAAATGACGTGAAGGTGAGTAAAAAAGAGATAGTTCACCCAAATGTGAAAAGTCTTCTAAGATTGTAATAAATAAATAAAAATTCTTAAAGGGATAGTTCACCCAAAAATGAAACTTCTGTCATCATTCACTCACACTGATGTAAATAATGACAGAATTGTATCCCTTTAACCCTAAGTTTGAGTGTCAATTTAAAGGGATACTTCAGGATTTAGCATTAAGCTTTGTATTAGTAGAAAACCTGTAGTATTTTCGAATTACCATGCTTTCCACCCTCATATCCCCCTGAGACGAGAGATTTATGTATTTTTTGTCTGGAAAAAAAATCCTCCGATGACGCAAAAATCGTCATTTTGCATCATCGGAGGATTTTTTGGCCAGAGGCTAAAGACTACAGTCAGTAGTAGAGGCTGTCCCGCATGTTTTCAACCCGCCCATAGAGGGTGGGATCTCACTCACAGAATGTACACATAGTGTCAGCCATCTTTTTTTGGAAGCTAAGCTAGCAGGCTCTTGTTCTGTGGAGAAAGCTGAGTAGGGGTTACCATCCTCTTTTTCGCGGCCCTCACTCGTCCTGCTCGCCACAGTAAACATGATGAATGGCGACTGTAGAACGCAAAAGCCGAATCCCGGACATTTTGGGCGATCTCGAAACACATTTTCGGGCAGACTCATCACGGAGACTCACTAGTACCCAGACTTGTTGTTTAACTACTGTGTTCTGTTACCGGTAGGCGTGGCCTCCTAGGGCAGCGAAGCAAGTGCATTCTGGGAGTTGTTGTCTTTCATCCACATAAGCCAAAAATACATTTTCTGGCTTTTCTCAGTCTAGAAAACTCCAAATTCAAAAATAATTTCACATTTCTTCTACATAAATGACCCATTTTTAATACACATTTATGTTTCCAGAGGTGAAGTATCCCTTTAAGGACCCAATGCTTAACTTTAAAACCCATACATTTCACGTTTAAGTGATTCAGTTGTCTTAAGAACTGTGTCATTGCTCATCACTCATGTGCTGCTCTCATCTTTACCTTCCAATGCAGGTCGATGCTCCTCGGAGATCTCGATGTCGGCAATTAGAGTCATGATCTTTTCAATCTACGATACAACATCAAGAAAAAGAAGAGTTAGAGCAGTTAAAATGCAGTTAAATATTAAAATTTACTGTAATCTGCCATGACAGGCTACTCTCTTTATTGGACTTCTGATTTGAATTCATAATTCATAAGTGTTGTTGGCCAAAACAACTGCATCTGAACGCAGAAGATCTGAAATGTAGTAGTTTTGCATTTCTCCAACACCTGGAACTGTACAGTAAAAGTTCACAGCATAAATCCTCAGCGATATACCAAAACCATAGCACATTTATAAGAACACTGGAAAAGCTTGAAGATTACTCTTCCAATCAATAGACTTTTAGGAGAAGCCTGAAATAGAAAAACGTTGGTTTTTGATGTAATATTTAAAGTCTGGCAAACTCGTCTGCTGTGTGCTTGTGGCATCATCATGCTGGCAAGCCCCTTGATTCATTTAGCAGTCAGATGCCACGGTCCACGTGATAGATCCCCTCTAGCCATACAGGCCTTTGCATTTCCCACTCTCAAGTAACCTACATCTGTACTGACTTACTTCTGTACACTTATCATGTCTATCCATTATAACATGCACAATGCGTCCTCACAGCCGTCCATGGCGCACATCCCAGAATCCCTCAGCTGCCTGCGCACACTCAGGCTTCGTCTCCACATACGTGTTCGGAAGTACAGACATGTTACAGAGATACTCAGCTCTATATAAAGATCAATGTTGCTGGATTGGAAACGTCTGACATTTGTACTAAAACTATAGGCTTAATGTCAGCATGAAAAGAAAACTGATTTACTTTATTAATGCAAGTTCCTGGTCTTCTTCTGCACAATTCATGCTATTCCAAAGTAAAACTAATCAATTTCCCACAGATAGAATCAAATCCTAAATTTGGAAATGCATAGCAAATCAATTTTACTTTCAGAATATCATGTTCTTCATGTTAATAATACGATGGATTTTTCATGGATGATTAATATTGTTTGTTTCATGTCAAGAGGCCTCAATTGTTGAGGACAATTAATTATCTTTTATATGTAAAGACATTTTTTTGTTTTTTTAGTTATAACTCCTTTATACAGAATCCAAAATATTATGAGCCATATTATAAACTCATGCATCCAAACTGAATGACAAACATACAGCATTGGTTCTGTTATAAAAAAAAGTGTTTGCAAATAGTTGACATTTTTGTTTCAGTCATATCATATCTGACTTGTTGTGAACAGGCCTTAAAACAATACAACAACAAAAATAACCCCAAAACAGCCAGTATGACATTTCTATAGTTAGGCTGTCAGTGTTAAAAATGCCCATGAGAAGGCTTCCTTTCCTTTACATGCGTACATTTTTAAATATGACCAATATTGTAAATACATTATTTTAGTATAGAGTTGTAAACCTCTACAGCAACTGATTAAAAAATATATATTTTTTTTTTTGTTGGTATAAACATTTGAGTCATTTTATCATGAAAACCTCTACAACGACTGATTTTAAAATGAAAATAAATAAGTCGAGTCTTTTTTCCCTGTGGTAATCAACAGCGCGATGCACAGATTTTGCTAACACTTTACAGGTTTTATTACTAAACATTAGTTAAAATACTTTAGTTAACATGAACCAAGAATTAACAATACTTCTGCATCATTTATTAATAATGTGAATTTCAACATTTACTAATACATTATTAAAATCAAATGTTGTATTAGTTAACATTAGTTAATGCACTGTGAACTAACATGAACAAACAATGAGAACCTGGATTTTTATTACCTATAACATTAACAAAGATGACTAAAAACTGTAACAAATGTTTGTATTGCTCATTGTTAGTTCATGTTAGTTAATGCATTAACTAATGTTAACTATGAAACCTTATTGTAAAGTGTTACCCAGATTTTAAACCCAGAATATTCTTTTAACATCTTTCTCAGGAGTTATAGTTTTTCTATTACAAACATGCAGTGTAATAGGGGCTTTAGCCTTCGTATATTGTCTGATTTCTTCGAAATGCGTTTTTGAGGAATTCACTGAAATGTAGTCTCATGAAATTGGGGGGAGAGAGAGAGAGAGAGAGAGAGAGAGAGAGGAGAGGTAGAGAGAGAGAGAGAGAGAGAGAGAGAGAGAGAGAGAGGTAGAGAGAGAGAGAGAGAGAGGAGAGGTAGAGAGAGAGAGAGAGAGGTAGAGAGAGAGAGAGAGAGAGAGAGAGAGAGAGAGGAGAGGTAGAGAGAGAAAGGTAGAGAGAGAGAGAGGTGTAGAGAGAGAGGTAGAGAGAGAAAGAGAGAGAGAGAGAGGGTAGAGGTAGAGAGAGAGAGGTAGAGAGAGAAAGAGAGAGAGAGAGGTAGAGAGAGAGAGAGAGAGAGAGAGAGAGAGAGTAGAGGTAGAGAGAGAGAGAGAGGTGTAGAGAGAGAGGGAGAGAGAGAGGGGTAGAGAGAGAGGGAGAGAGAGGTGTAGAGAGAGAGGGAGAGAGAGAGGGGTAGAGAGAGAGGGAGGGAGAGAGGGAGAGAGAGAGGGAGAGAGAGAGGGGTAGAGAGAGGGGTAGAGAGAGAGGGGTAGAGAGAGAGGGAGAGAGAGAGGTGGCGTAGCGGGAGTTATTGCGGTCGTAGCCTCAAGCCATGGAGTTCCAAAAACAGTTCATGAAAGACGAGCATTTTCATTTTGCAGAGACAGCAATGAGGAACATCACACAATGTCCAACCTAATGAGTGAATATGTAGAAGCCAGCAGCTTGAGAAAATGTGAAGTATTGGGGTAATAAAGATTTCCTACAGCTCAGCCTCATTTCATGTGCCAGAGGAGTAACACGATTACAGGGTTCAGAGACCGGAGCGATGGCCAAGTCTCGCTGACACCATGAGGAACTCTAAAACAATACAAATCTTGTTATATTTCGAAAGTCCATGCATAGCTGAAAATAAAAAGTATATAAACATTATTTTAGTCATGTTTTACATCCACAAAATGAGACTATGAGATTATATTGTGTTGAAACATATAGGGTTGTCAGTCATTTTTTTATTGAATTTATTACATGATATGTTTATTCATTAATTAATTAAAATAAATCACATATTTACATCAATATTCCATCCTAAATTAAAATGAAAGTTATAAGTCATTCATAAAATAGTAAAATAAAGCATTTACATAAATGTGAAGGTTTTACCTGGTTCATCATGCTTTAATGAAAGAGTTTCAATATAGGTCAGCGATGTAAACACAGATGCTTGTTTAGTGTCGTTCTCAAAATGGGGCTAAAACAGTTAATAAATCATAAGTATGGACAAGACATCAAAGTATAACAAGACATTGCAAATCATTGTTTAATGAAAAATAGAGGTTAATTATTTATTTGTATACTATAAAGCAGGAGTTTTGAGGTCAAGGCACATGATTAAACGCAGTAATCCTTTTAAAGTCCCCATGAAATCAAAATTGACAATTCATATTTTTTTATGGAATATTTCAGTATTCATTATAAATTATTTATCTGTGCACATCATTATTTTTTAAATTCATGTGTTCCTCGTAATCTTTAATAAAAATACCTTCCCCTCCCTCACGCAGCTCATCTCTTCTCTTCTCTGATGACGTGTTTGTTCTTGTTCCAGAAGCCGTCTCACTCTGATATACGTCACAATATAGGGAAGAAAATACGCAACTATAGAGAGTTATTTCGGGTATAATTACTGCATGTTAACCTCTTTACATGCATTTGCTCCATGTACTGCTACCTTCATTCTTGTACTCACGTCTCATGCAAATGCAAACAAAGTTTGATTTTGGAAAAAATAAAGACTGGCCAACGCCACTAGGCCTCGTTTACACTGACAGTGAAATGTGACCCAATTCCATAGACAGTATAAGAAATGGACAGAGCCATCTCATTGGAACTCAGTTGAGACAGTTGAAGCCCATTTTTAGCGATTTCTGAGCACTTCCGTTCCTGACGCGCAGACTCAAACCAACTCAAACTAAGCTTGATGACGTGAGCAACCTGTCTGACAGACGTTAATCTTCTAGTAGCTGTGCGTGAAAATTGCCAACGTTAATCTTGCAGAGACGGGGAACTTGAGCAAAGAGTTCTTTGGCGTGAGTGAGCAGGAGTAAGTATTCCTTTTATGGACTCATTATCTATGGGCTTCTCCCTTGACGGGGCGTCCCCCCGATTGACTGCGAGCTTCTCCTGCTGTCTGTACGGTAACTTCTGTACAGCGCGACAGAGAGTCGAGTGGTTATGACGCAATCGTTAGCCTATTTTTACTAAAACTGCTTCTACGGGGCCATAATGTAACATAGAAGGTAATGGAGCACTTTATACATTGTCGTGTTTCTTTAGAAATAAATAATGGACAAATGGAGTCTTTAAACGCCTCAGATGTAAAGTTATTCGCTGTCAAAGTGACGCCAAAATGAATGGGAGTCAATGGAAATGCTAACGCAAGTGAAGTTCTGCTACAACATGGCGGCACCCGGCCGGCTTCAACTTCCGGTCGATGGATTACCCCCTTGCCCAATTCCGATTTTTGTATGCGACACAGATCGGATGTGTTCTATGACAGTGTAAACAGGAAGAAGAAAAAACGCATGCATTCGGATATTTCGAGATCGGTTTCAGGCCTCGTTCATATGTGGAAATAAATCAGATGTAAATCAGATATGTGCAAATGCGACTGTCATGTAAACAGGCAGATCGGATTTTCCGAGGCATTAGGCTGCGTCTCCGCGGTTTAATGACGAGAGAAACCCCGACGCGCATCTGCGGATGGACGGATGGCAACACGCATAATCGCTTTTCAGCGTGTTTATCAACGCCTTGACTTAACGTTACATTACTGTATATAAATATATGACCTACCCCAACCCCGTCCCTAAACCTACCCGTCACTGGGGTTAATACCATTTATGAGTCCTACCATCCTAGTAAAAAAAATATTGCTCCACAGATGTAAATATACATTTTGCTTCGTTTCGCTCGGACATTTAACGGCGTACACATACACGCGGAA